CCCCCAGCCTGTGACCCAGTGAGGTCGGTACCACAGCACTGGGTCGGGCTTGAGCCAGAACTAGAACCGTTAAGAGTCAGATGCCTCTGTCTTACTGGGACAGCTCTGCAGGTCACACGTGCGCGACTCGGTGGCGGTGCAGGCATATCCGCAGGTTCTGGTCCGTTTCTGGGATCCAAACCCACAGGTGGCGCTGCAGGGAGCCCAGCCGGTCCACTCCTCGTTCTCTGAAACACACGAATGGAGCAGAAGCCTTTGAAGTTCACCCTCTGGATTCCTGACTCAGCTGGTGTCTGTGTGTGTGTGTGTGTGTGTGTGTGTGTGTGTGTGTGTGTGTGTGTGTCTGTCTGTCTGTCTGTCTGTCTGTCTGTCTGTCTGTCTGTCTGTCTGTCTGTCTGTCTGTCTGTCTGTGTGTGTGTGTGTGTGTGTGTGTGTGTGTGTGTGTGTGTGTGTCTGTCTGTCTGTCTGTCTGTCTGTCTGTCTGTCTGTCTGTCTGTCTGTCTGTCTGTCTGTCTGTGTGTGTGTGTGTGTGTGTGTGTGTGTGTGTGTGTGTGTGTGTGTGTGTGTGTGTGTGTGTGTCTGTGTGAGTGTGTGTGTGCATATGTGTGTGTGTGTGTGTCTGTGTGAGTGTCTGTGTGAGTGTGTGTGTGTGTGTGTGTGTGTGTGTGTGTGTCTGTGTGTGTGTGTGTGTGTGTGTGTGTGTGTGTGTGTGTGTGTCTGTGTGTGCATATGTGAGTGTGTGTGTGTGTGTGTGTGTGTCTGTGTGAGTGTGTGTGTGTGTGTGTGTCTGTGTGTGTGTGTGTGTGTGTGTGTGTGTGTGTGTGTCTGTGTGTGCATATGTGAGTGTGTGTGTGTGTGTGTGTGTGTCTGTGTGTGTGTGTGTGTGTGTGTGTGTGTGTGTGTGTGTGTGTGTGTGTGTGTGTGTGTGTGCGGTGAGAGTGATGGCGGCACCAAATGAGTAAAAACAAACCGGGTCCAACAGTTGCACTTAGAGCAGCAGCTGAGTGTGAACAGAACCTGGTTTTGGTTCTGATATCATAAAACAACAGAGTCCGGGTTCTGGACTCTGCAGAACCACTAAAACAGATCCTGACCCGGTTGTTTCCATCAGAACCTGGAAGGTTAATGACATCATCCTCTTTGGTTCTGACTACTCTTCAGCTCATCCGTCTCTTCCTGCATCCGTTACCATGGTGACAGATGGTCCAGGATGTTCTGGGCCTGCTGCTCGTTTTTGGTTCTGATCAGCAGTCAGGCGTGTGACTGACGGAGCAGAACTCCGGTTTTTGATCCTGTCAGAGAAAAGCTGCTGTTGTTTCTCCAGACAGAACCAGAACTCTGATTGGCGAGAAAACAATCTGACCTTCCTGCTCAGAAGTCTAAAGACCAATAGGCCCCGCCCCTCTGATGCTCTCAACTGTTTTATTTTTGTGAATCTCACCAAACTTTGTCTCTGTGTTCCAACGTCCCCCAACTCCACCCAGGACCGACGCGTCTGGATCACCATAGTCCTCAGAACCGGTTCCACCCAGCAGCCCGTTCTCCATCTGCTCCGGGTACTCCCAGAACAGCGGCCAGAACAGCTTTTTGTGGCTGTTGATCCAGTCTGAGGAGGAAACGGACCAGTTGTTCCTCTGACTCTCTGTGACCAGGTCCATCTCCACCTCCGTCTCGGTCTGAGGGTCCTCCACCACCTCGATGGTCACCTGAAACACAGAACATCTGGTTTTCTTCAGCCGTTCCACACCAGAACCTGAGTCCAAACCTTCAGAATCAGGACATCAGCGAAAAGCCACAGAGCGTTGCCATTTCTCAGAGCTGGAATTTTTCTGGAGATGTCTGCCTGAGACCCAGGATGTCCTAACCCCGGTCTGGTTCTGACCCGTCTGACGGAACAACACACACACACCCTGCGGGGACTTTCTGTAGGTCTTTACAGAGCCTCAGCTAAAAGGAGTCGGGACTCGTCCCGGTCCTCGTCTCCACTTGTTGGTTGAATCTCCGGACACGGAGCTTCAGGTGCTTCTCCTGCAGATCTGACTGTGGTGAGCGCTGCTCGTATGAAAGAGGCTCGCTGTGCTGCAGAAGGTGGAGAGATGCACAGATAGCTGCACGTTTCTCTGTGGTTCCACCTTAAAAACACTCAGGAGACCCATGATTGGTGTTTATCAGGGTGCAGAAGTCCTGATGGCTCCGTTAGGAACGCGTCTCTCCCCTGAAGCCAAGGAGCCCCTTATCTTCTGGATCGTACTTCTACATACGTGACTTCTGCACGAGTTCCTCCTCCACGTGTGTTTGGTTTAATCACCTCCACGGCTCCTCCAGGATTACGCTCCTTTGACCTTTTGCACTCAGCTCTCATGTGTTTCACATTTTCACGTCATGCTCAGCGTGCAGATGCTTGGAGGTTCACGGACGGGTTTGAGAAGCTGCTGCTGAATGTTCTGAAACTCAAGACGCTGGTCTGACTCAAAGCAGCTGCTCTCAGAGGAGCCAGGCAGGATGTGGAGCTCCAGGGAGAGGAAGAAGGGGGATCTCACCTGTATGTTGGGATTCTGGGAGCCAGCGTCCGCATTGGCCAGGTCCGGAAAGTTCCTCAGATCCAGGACGAAGGGTTCCTCCTCAGGCGTGGGTGGAGGGAGGCCAGCGCGGTGTCGGGATGGGAGGGGATGAGTCTGCAGCAGGTTTTCCTGCTGGAGCTGTTTCAGGTTCAGAGGAGCATCTTCTCGTCTCTCTGATGGTGGGAGCTACGAAAAACAATCAAATCTGTTAATGGTTCCTGGGCGTTTCCATAGCAACGTAACGCTTTATACTTTGGGAATTAAGGAGAAAAGCTTGAGTTTATGTGGGATGAAACTCCAAACCGGACAAACAATCAGCTGATTGATAGGAGAAGAGGCTACTGATGGAATCTCAGGGTCAACGTTAGAAATGATCAGAGATCAATAAACGGTACCCAGCGGTTCCGGAATCATGACTCAATTAAACGGACAATCGGAGAGAGTGAGAACAGGAAGAAGTATTTGTCCCATCTGTCAGCCCGGCAGCCCCTCAGCAGCTCGGGTTTCTGTATTTTTAGCTAAACCGTTAAACCCCAGCAGCGACGGCCGTCGGCCTGGCGGGTTTCCTTTCTCCTGACGGAGCGGGAGCTGCATGGTTCTGACTCCAGTTTGGATCTTCCTGATCGTTCCGGTTTGTCCCACAGAGAAAAACAAAGTGTCCTTTCACCGTGTAGAGGCTTGGTTCGGACTGCCGCTCAGTCCTGGTTTGGGATTCTGATATTTGGGTGGAATGAAAACATTGTGGAGGCAGATTTTCCTCCAGGGGTCACGGATAGAAGAAAAATATGTTAAAATGACGAAGTCATAAGAAAATGCATTGGGACAGAAAATCCTAACAGATGCACCGATTTAGTATCCGAGCCTGTAAAAATGTCTGAATCTTGTTCTGATCGGCACAAAATCTGAATCCTGGAAGAGGAAAAGACAGAAGTTGGAGTGGGAAAACCAGCTAAGTGGCGGTGCGTTCACTGACCAGGGAAAAGACCAGACTGAGCTGCAACTTGAAATTCAGATTTTTGAAATGCAGCATAAAGTCCGTAAAGTCTTCGCCGCTGAGCAAAAACTCACAACAACACATCTACGTGGAAGTTTCAGAATTCCCGAACCCAGCAGAAGTTTAAACTACATTTTCACTGATTGTGGTTTTTGATGTAAATCGTTTCGTTATCGTCGCACAAAAGCAGAATCGGTGCTTTTCTGCTTCAACAAAAGCAAGTTTTCAATTCTTTTGGTTTTATTTCTAATCAACACAATAAAAGTAGGCACCTTTAGGGTTAAAGTTCTGTTCCGACCCGGTCCTCAGACCTCTCTCTTCCTGCTTCATCTGTTCTACATTAAAGATCGCTGCTCAAACTCCAGCCGCCTGAACAATGTGACACCTCTGTAAAATGTGCCGGAGCCTCCTGGGAGGATTATTCCGTTAGAGCAGCACCCTTCCTTCATTAGAGCTCGGAGCGGGAGATAAACTTCCTCCTGCTCCAGAAATTAGCTTCATGTTTGCTTAACAGGCTGCAGGAAGTGAGACGAGGAAAAGGGAGAAGAGCGACTTTAATCTAGGAGCTGGTTTTAGGGATTTATGGTTTCAAAACAAAACATTTCCCAAACGCGTTCCCTAAAACATTCCAGGGATGAGAGAGGGCAGGATTAGTTTCATTAGAGGGAATAAAGAAGCTGTGGTGCAGACCGGACCTCCTCATGAGCCCGGAGCAGAACCCAAACCTTCACTTTCACTGAAAACGACTCAGATTTTTATTATCTTCTGATCGACCAGAACCAGAACTCCGCCTCCTGCAGTCAGCTGATTCAAGTAAACAAACCTCAGCCAGTGAAGTTCTGTTTGCTCGGAACCAACAAAACCCAGAAAGACCCCACCCTGGCTCATCCCTTGAGTTAGGAGCAAGTTCTCTCTGAGGTCAAAGGTCAGAAACGTTCTGGTACCAGAGTCCAAAGAAAAACTCTGAAAATCTGGAGAGAATCAGTTCACCAAGGGTCTGCTCCAAGAGTTCTGGCCTGGATCAGGAGACCTAGACTGGATCAGGAGTTCTAGACTGGTTTAGGACTTCTGGACTAAATTTAGTCATAAACAAAAACAGTTTGGGTTGGACCTTCGGATCGGGATTTCTGGACAGGATCAGGAGTTCTAGACTAGAGTTCTAGACTGGTTTAGGACTTCTGGACTGGATCAGGAATTCTGGACTAGATCAGGAGTTCTGGACTGGATCAGGAATTCTGGACTAGATCAGGAGTTCTGGACTGGATCAGGAGTTCTGGACTAGATCAGGAGTTCTAGACAGGAGTTCTAGACTGGTTTAGGACTTCTGGACTGGATCAGGAGTTCTGGACTAGATCAGGAGTTCTAGACAGGAGTTCTAGACTGGTTTAGGACTTCTGGACTGGATCAGGAGTTCTGGACTGGATCAGGAGTTCTGGACTGGATCAGGAATTCTGGACTAGATCAGGAGTTCTGGACTGGATCAGGAGTTCTGGACTAGATCAGGAGTTCTAGACAGGAGTTCTAGACTGGTTTAGGACTTCTGGACTGGATCAGGAGTTCTGGACTAGATCAGGAGTTCTAGACAGGAGTTCTAGACTGGTTTAGGACTTCTGGACTGGATCAGGAGTTCTGGACTAGATCAGGAGTTCTAGACAGGAGTTCTAGACTGGTTTAGGACTTCTGGACTGGATCAGGAGTTCTGGACTGGATCAGGAGTTCTGGACTGGATCAGGAATTCTGGACTAGATCAGGAGTTCTGGACTGGATCAGGAGTTCTAGACAGGAGTTCTAGACTGGTTTAGGACTTCTGGACTGGATCAGGAGTTCTGGACTAGATCAGGAGTTCTAGACAGGAGTTCTAGACTGGTTTAGGACTTCTAGAAAGGATTTAGTCATAAACAAAAACAGTTTGGGTTGGACCTTCCTGCACTCAGCTTGCAGCATCAGAACCGGTCCTACCTGAGAACGGGAGCTCGCGGTGTTACGGGCAGGCAGCCCGCAGACCGAGGCGGTCAGAACCAGCAGCCACAGAAGATTCATGGTTCTTATGGATCCTTCAGCTCACAGGTCCAGGCGGGACGGGATGACCCACCGCATGTTGAGCACAACCTCCGCGTTTCCGTCGCTCCTCGCGCCGGTGGAATTCTCTCATCTCATGCAGGTTTACCGGAGAAGGGAACCGGGACCAGGTTCTGGTTTTAGAGACGAGACTCCGGTTCCGTGGGTCCTTCTCTCAGGACCCACTCATCAGGTCCTCTTGGCTCAAACCAGCGCGTGCTGCTGGTTTAAAACCGGGTCCGTCTGTGTGGTGTCACTGGAGGGGCGGGGCTTCAGGCCTGACCAGTTTAAATCGTTTCTTGGTGATTAAACGATTCTAGTTAATAATCACCTGAGATTAAGCAACAGGTAACCTGGTTAGCTACCAAAGATCATCCGTTTTCTGTTAAAGGAGAGTCCTCTCATCGATAATATTTAATATTTTACATTTTGTCCAAATAATTAATCAGAACCAAGTTTAATAAATAGTAATCATAATGGTAGTAAGACTAATGATACTATACTATAATATTTATTTATTTAATTATTTATTTACTTACTTACTTAAACATAATTTTATACGGAGGAATAACCACTTGAGATGAAACATCTCGTTTTCGAGTGGGTCCTCCTTTACAGCAAAAAGAAGAACAAAAATTAGGAGCAAGACAGCAGAGCAAAAATCACAATCAAAACATTACAACAATCATTTACACACACACACACACACCCTCAAAGGCTCACAATACTTCACCCCAACCGACACAACCCCAAGGACAAAACAAAAGCAACAGCAGTTGAACAAATACTAGTAACGTAGACAAATATTCCGAAGATGATGGACCAGAGCCCTTCGGAAAGTAGTGAATGATGATAAACAACGAATAGATAAAGGAAGATTATTCCAATCACACGGAGCCTTAAAACACAAGATCTGGTCAATATGCTGCAGGCTGTAAAGTGAATTATAGGGAATTAAATGTATTTTCAGATAATCTGGGTAATTAAAGTAAAAACTTTTAAAAATGAACTGAAACCAGTGAAACTGTCTCCTGACAGCAGGTGTGAACCAGGACAACTGTTGACACGTCACACTTCCATGTGTCCTACATGGACAACGAAGAACAAAACAACAGAGACTATCATAAGCAACATCAATAGAGTGCAAGCAGGAGGATGAAGTGTTCTGATAGATAATGTCAGCACAGTCCAGAATAGGCAGAAGCAGCTGGGTGGCGATGCTTCTCCTGACCAGAAAGTTAAAACAGTTAACAGATGGATGGAGGATTTTAAGATGAGAACAGAATTTTTTTGTAGTTGATTGTATTTGTGTTTTAAAGGATGAATCAGGTTCCAGCCAAACACCAAGATATTTTATGGTCTCCGTGGTCTCCAGAGGAGAGGAGTCGAGAAAACAGAGCTTAAGGTTTTTTTTTCGCCAATCTATAGGGTTTTCTTATGAAACAGTAAGGAATATGATTTTGACTTATTAAGGAGAAGTTTATTGGCCAACAGCCACTGCTGACTAGAATTAAAGTCTTTTTGTAGCAAAAAATGTATCTCAGTGAGAGTTGGCTTACTACAATAAATAACTGTGTCATCAGCATAAAGATGAATGTTACAGGCTGTGCAGCACAGGGGCACATCGTTAACATAGATATGTATAATTAACATATATACTAAAGATACTTTACTACAATAAATAACTGTGTCATCAGCATAAAGATGAATGTTACAGGCTGTGCAGCACAGGGGCACATCGTTAACATAGATATGTATAATTAACATATATACTAAAGATACTTTACTACAATAAATAACTGTGTCATCAGCATAAGGATGAATGTTACAGTCTGTGCAGCACAGGGGCACATCGTTAACATAGATATGTATAATTAACATATATACTAAAGATACTTTACTACAATAAATAACTGTGTCATCAGCATAAAGATGAATGTTACAGGCTGTGCAGCACAGGGGCACATCGTTAACATAGATATGTATAATTAACATATATACTAAAGATACTTTACTACAATAAATAACTGTGTCATCAGCATAAAGATGAATGTTACAGGCTGTGCAGCACAGGGGCACATCGTTAACATAGATATGTATAATTAACATATATACTAAAGATACTTTACTACAATAAATAACTGTGTCATCAGCATAAAGATGAATGTTACAGGCTGTGCAGCACAGGGGCACATCGTTAACATAGATATGTATAATTAACATATATACTAAAGATACTTTACTACAATAAATAACTGTGTCATCAGCATAAAGATGAATGTTACAGGCTGTGCAGCACAGGGGCACATCGTTAACATAGATATGTATAATTAACATATATACTAAAGATACTTTACTACAATAAATAACTGTGTCATCAGCATAAAGATGAATGTTACAGTCTGTGCAGCACAGGGGCACATCGTTAACATACCTAACCCTAACCCTTATACAGTACTAAAGATACTTTACTACAATGATGTATACTCATGATACTTTACTATAATGACATATACTAATGATACTATACTATAATGATACTGATATAAATACTAAATACTAATATAAATACTAATGATACTTTACTACAATGATGTATACAAATGATACTATACTATAACGATATATACTAGATCATATCTACTAATTATAAATTATAAAAATCTATTTCAAGCTATATTTCTACTACTAGGATGATGCCGAACCATTGATGATGAATTTTAAGGTGACATCAACTGAGATACTGAATGAGCAAGGATGAAATATGAGCTTGGATGTTAAGTTTAGAACAAACTAATTAAGTGTCTTAGAAAATTGTGATGTCTGGGTTTTAAAATAAGGCTCGCTATGTTAACTTAGGTTTAACAAATTATCAAATTACTGAAACCATCCGACGCCAGGTGAGTATGGTACCCGTGTGATGAGGCTTCCCAGCGATCCTGCTGGCCACACAGTCTTCTTGGCATGCAAGCGAGTCGTTTGACTTCTAGATGTTAAAGTCGTATTCCTCTGAATCTGCATCAGCTGGTCCGAGATAACCTCAGGGTCTGCTGGCGAGACGGTTCACGTCTGAAGAGTTGTTTCTCTGATGGAGTTTTGCAAAGAAAGTCTGAGATTAAAAAGGATTTTTCATATGCTGCTGATCCATTTTGGCCAAACTGGGAAGTTTGCTGGAACTACCTTTTAGAGGAAGTGTTCCTTCTTTTATCAGTTGTTGTTTATAGATTTAGATTTAAAGATCTTCAGACATCCCTCCATCCTCAGACACTCAGAAAAGTTTATTTCACTTAATGTGAAGTAAATCTGACTGTAAACAGTCATTTATTAATATGGCAAGATTAAAATGTGAATATACTGTTAATAACTCATTATTAAATTCAACAAGTAGACTCATTTGGTTTATTTAACATCTGAAATAAAACTTTCTTTCCAGTAAAAACAATTATGTTTATTAATTAATTACTGTAAAGCAGTCAAGGCATTATTAAATCACTTTAAATAAAACAGAATATTTGTCACGATCTGCCCCTGCCCGCCTGACTGTGTTCCTCTCCTGCCATGATTACCCTTATTGTTCTCACCTGTCCCTCGTTTACCTGCCCGTGTTTCCCTAATTAGCCCTCTGTATTTATACCACCTGTTTTGCCCCTGTCCTTGGTCAGTTCATTGTTGTTGTTTGTAGTCATCATTGTTTTGTTCCTGCCCTTCCCGTTCCACCAATAAAACCATTTTTATTTTTCATCCGTGCCTGCTCTCCTGCCTCCTGAACTCTCCACCACACATGGTCCATCATCTCCACACCCCCAACATGACAATATTATTGTTAACAATCTGTAGAGTGAAAGAAACCATTTTATGAGACAAATATAAAAATAATTTTGCTAAAGAGAAAAGTCTTAAGGTGTTAAGCTTTAGCGTTTGACATCTTCAGTCTTGACGGACTTCCCTCTGTTTTCATTTGTGCAATCACCAAAATCCTGGAGGTTTCCGACCTGGATGGGGGGGTGTCAGGGCGCGAGAGAGTTTCCAGATGTAGGTTCTGGTCCAAATAAAGTTCCTCCTTATTTTTTTATTTTTTGTTTGTTTTTTGTTTGTTTCTTTCTTTTTCAACGAGAACATGTGTTTTTGTGAATTTTGAACAAAAGGTCACCAAAGCATTCAACACAGAACTGGTTTTGGGTTTTAACTTAAACCAGGTTCTGGTTAGTCGGAGGTTACGTGTGTTTTAGCTGACGTCAGTAGCATCTAACTGGAGTTACAGATTAGGTCTGATCTATGTTTAACCCTCTGGAGGCAGGCGTTGCAGATGTGCAGCGTTAAAACCTGTTACACGTATTTCATGAGCGTTTTTAACTCAGAAGTTCCCCTGGAGGACTCAGATGTTCATCCTTTTATCAAAGCTTATTTTGATCCTGAGAGGGTTAACCCCATTTGTCTTCAACACCACGTTCTACTGAACAGGATGATCTAGATCCAAAAAAATCCAGATTTTGTTTTGAAGCAATATTATAGAATGTTGTCCTAAGATATCCATCCTGTTGATGTAAGGAGCTATTTATCCCACAACCAGCGTGTGGGAGGCAGATAGTAACATTGTGCTTTTGAAGAAATATCCTGCATGACCACAGGATGTCATTCTTACTTCATTTTTTACACATTGCACCTTTAACTGCTCAGACATTCATTATTTTATCTAATTATTTTTGTGTTTTACATTTCTTGCATCTGTAAAGCACAGAATTACATCCTAGAATGAAATGTGCTTTCTAAATAAAGATTTTACAACATTTCATCACAGAATTGTTGTTCTGAGACAAGGAGGTGTGTGTGTGCGTGTGTGCGTGCGTGTGCATGTGTGTGTGTGTGTGTGTGTGTGTGTGTGTGTGTGTGTGTGTGTGTGCGTGCGTGCGTGCGTGTGCATGTGCGTGTGTGTGTGTGTGTGTGCATGTTCAGACGACCTCAGCAGTCAATGTCTGTGGCCTCCAGGTAATTGGTTCCATATTTGTGGTTTCAGTTGGTGTGTGTGTGTGTGTGTGTGTGTGTGTGTGTGTGTGTGTGTGTGTGTGTGTGTGTGTGTGTGTGTGTGTGTGTGTTACCATCTGTGGAAACCATCACTCTTTTTAATGAGTGGTGAAAACAGGGAGACAAGAAAACAGGAAGGAAAAGTCCTGCTTGACAGCTTTCTTCCTGTAGAGCTAGTAAGAGGCAGACCTGCAGAGTGTGGCTTGATGCAGCACGTGTGTGTGTGTGTGTGTGTGTGTGTGTGTGTGTGTGTGTGTGTGTGTGTGTGTGTGTGTGTGTGTGTGTGTGTGTGTGTGTGTGTGTGTGTGTGTGTGTGTGTCTGAGCTCCAAGCAGATGAACAGGTTTCAGTTTGCATGAACATAATAAAAGTTTTCATGCAGGAATCAGTTCAGATGTCTGTTCTAATCGTGAGAGAAACGACGCTGCAGCGGCTTCATAAACACCCAAAACTCTCCTCTGATTTTCTACACCGAATCCTGTTTTACTACAATAGGAGAGAACATTTATTTTGGACTCCGGTGGTGCGTTTGGGTCTGAAATCAGCTGTGAGTGTTTTCCAGGGAGACTTGAAGCTACATTTAAGTTTATGAAGAAAAAATATCCAGAAAGAGAAGATGGGGTTTGACCTGAGAACAGGCTGAGCCGATCCAGAGTCACAGAGGCCCTTTTTCCACATCAGAAAACTAAAATAAAAGGTTTCTGATCAGTCGGTGGGAACGTGGAGAGCAACATTTGTAAACGGGTTTTTGCTGCCCCCTGCTGGTGTTCCTGTAAGAATTTTAAAAAGTCAGATTTGATCAAACATGGAGTAATAAAAGGATAAAAGATTTAACCACACTGGTGAAGGAGAAGAGCTCACTAGCAGATTTAGACAGATTAGTGAGGAATATCTGAGAGGAAGTTCATGTTTTTGATTTTAGCTCATGAGAAATGGGAGTAAAAACAAAAGTGTTGGGTTTATGTTTGTGTTCAGTGAAGATCATCAACCGTTTACAAGTTTCAGTGAGTCTAAAAGCCTTTAAAGGTTCTGACCTGTTGGTTCTGATCATACCTGTAGCGTGAGGAGAGTGACACGTCTCCACTTGGAAGCTTGTTATCAGCTCTGAGTCGTCCTCAGGACCTGCTTCCTGTCTCCAGGTCATTATTTCCTCTTGTGTCCATAACAAGATGCTTCAACAGACACCAGCTGCTCTCTGTGTGTTTGGGTTCTATTTCAGGATCGCTCTCTCGCCTTTGATTTACATCTCAGTGGATCCGCCTCCTTCAAAGATGGAGCGTTTCTCCTGACGACGGACCTACGTCACGGTAAAGGTCAACTAACTCCGTCCAGTCAGGGTCAGGGACGAGATGTAAGAACGTCTCCTCATCAAAACAAAACCATTTTACTTTTATCTGTTCTTTTCTGCCCGAGGCCCGGTCCGGACCCCAGTTTGGTGGGCCCATTTCTGAGCTTCCTTCCATCCTTCTTGAGAAGACTCTACATCCAACTAAAAGCAGTTTTAGATGACAACAAGGTTCTGGAGATTGGGGTTAGTCGCTCTGGAGTGGTTCAGCTCTCACTTAACAGAGAAGTCTCCTCTCTTCCTCCTCTGTTGTCATGTGGGGTTCCACAGGGCCCGATCCTCGGTCCTGCTCCTTTTGGTCTATATCTGCTGCCTCCCTCGTTCAGATGACACTCGGGTTTCTGCCCCTGAAACAGAATCTACCTATCAAAATAAAATCCTGGACAGCTTTTAACTTACTGGTACCCCCGAGGTACAAGTACAAGTGATTCGCTGCTGGGATTCATCATTTATCCTTCTCAGCAGCAGCACTGCAGGTGCTCTCCATGTCCAACATGTGCGTAAGCCGGGTCCTTAGTCAACTTAAAGTTGTGCACATTTTTCCACTAAGTTTTCTTTTATAAAAAACAAAGTTTGCGTGGAAAGTTGCTTACGCAGTTTTCCGACCCCGTTTTGTGCGTAAGCTAGCTTGATGAACGAGACCCCAGGTCTGGATCAGAGCTGCTGCTCCTCCTCATGGAAAAGCCACGGAGGTTCATGATCAGGATGCATCCTGCTCTCTTCCAGATCCCAGGTCAGATCCAGAACTCTCTGGAGGGATCACATGAATGGATTGTTCCCATGTGGATAATTTGGGACAGTTTAAAGGAGACACCAGGGACTAAAACCTTCCTTTAGAGGTTTTTCAGACACACCTTCAGGAAGCTTCTCTGGGAGCAACATCTGGAAAACCCTGTTTCCCAGATGTTCATAAGAAGAGGTGTGCTCCTGCTGCAGGTCAGATCAGGCTTTACCACCTGAATAAACCATCTTTTTAGACTAAGACGTGTGTTCTGCGTCTGCGGTCGGTCATGAATGAAAACGCTGGTTTTTCTGCAGCTTAACGACGTCCGGTAACGAGATGCTGCAGCTCCAAGACGCTAACGAGCTCTTCACTTGGACCGGTGCCCATTGATCTGCTGGAGGGCGTTTACGCCCCCGTGTGTGTGTGTGTGTGTGTGGGAGGGGGGGTGGGTGCAGGATGGCACTAAGGTGTATAAGAGGTGCTCACCTGCTTCGACCTGCAGCAGAAACACAACCAGCATCTGAAGATAAGACGTTCGGCGTTTCATCAACAGCTTCAGCCGACAGAGAGGAAGGTAAGAGTTCATCAGGTATCGGCTTTTATCAGTTCGTACTATTATAGCGGTGTGTGTAATATAGATTTGTATTATGTAAACTGGTGTTTATGTGTTCTTCTTGGTTTTTTAAATATTATTAAAGCCTGAAATAAGTAGGAGGGGAAAATAACACATTTTTCCTTAAAGTTTATTATTTTAATCATTATTGATAAAATGACTCATTTCCTTAAATTAAGACAAGAAATCAAAGTATCCTTCCACGCTTCCTAGTGACGACAGTGAGGATCTTTTATATTCAGCTGGTATTTATTTTTACCAGCTGAGGGATTCCTCATGAATCTGCTTTAAAGCTTCTTTCATTTAAATAAATTAAGGAAATGAAAATCCTTCTAGACCATCTTCGGCTACATTTCAAACGCTGCTGATCCATTAAAATCTTTCATTTGGTCTGATTGTCTGGATTCAAATAAATAAAAACATTAATACTTTAATGGTCGGATCTTTAGTTTCTGATAAGCTGAATCACTGATGGAGAAAATAAAGTCAAACAGAGAAATAAGTTTGAATCTTGAAGGCGTGTCCATCACCGCGATGCCGGAATAAACAAACATTTTTAAATGTAAACATTTTTTGCTCTTTAATGAAAACTAAACTTTTTTCTTTCTTCCACTAAAAAGAAGAAATGGAAGATTTTATTGTTTTGATACTAAAAGTAAAACAAGAACAAAGTAAAGTTTTTTAAATGTGTTTATTTGGTTTTTAGGATGTCAGAGTTTCCCGCTCTCCTCCGGATGTCATTCCTGGTGCTTTGCATTGTGGGAATGACCTCGGTGACCTTCGGCTTCCCTCGGCCTCGACTACCTCTCAGGTGTTTTTTTATTTTTCAGTAAAAACCAAACATCTAATGAAGCGTTTCTGTTTGATGTCATTGATTCTTCCCGGAAATTTAATCCCAGGAATCCTGATGATCCAGAGGAAGTAAAACAGGAAGACTGGGACATCCTCTTCCCATCTATTTCCCTCCACGACTGGAACATCCAGATGTTGCCGGGCCTCAGGTCTGCAGAGGGGAAGGGTGGTCTGATGAGGGAGGCCTGGCTGTTCGCACCGGAGAGGACCGAGGCCAGGTAATATAATCCCACATCAGGGAATCCCAACATTTTCCCCGTGAGGGATCCGACTTTGTTTCCTCCTGTTGTGTTTTCTCCTCAGCGTGGAGGGGGTCTGGCCCTCAGACTGGGCATCTGAAGGAGCTCGGCTCCTGAAGAGGAACTTGGTGGTGGCGGATGATGCTGCCTTCAGAGAGAAGAGCAAGCTGCTCACCTCCATGGAGAGGCAGAAGTGGCTCAACTCCTACATGCAGAAACTCCTGGTGGTTAATTCCTGAGGCTCCGACATGAGCTGTTGGGATAAAACCTTTAGATTCCAGGAGGGACTTGTCCGATCTAAAAACATGTCAGGCTCAGAGCGCTGCCAAGTCGCCCGATTCACCAAGAAAATGTTCCCATCTGAAGCGGGTTTGTGTCACCGGACTGTAAATGAATAAATGGTTTAATCTCTGGTATGAAGTGTTTCTTTTGTCACACGTGGACAGCAGCAGTCACCGACTGATATACGCTCAGATTCTGGTCCTGGCTCGGATCAGAAGACCCCACAGATGTCCTGAGGGGTCTCTGCTCCACGGCTCCAGGGAGACACCTAGTGGCGTTCAGGTTTAATGCGGACGAAACATAAACATGAGTTCTACTTCCTGGTTGTCACTGGTTGTACAGGATCGAGTTGCAGCTGGAGTTTAGTTCATATGAAATCAGCTTCTATAAAAATGTCCCTGGACATGTTCATAACAGAACTCTGAGGCCCGTTTCCCTCGGAGTCAGAAACGTGAAGAGATTAGTTTCAGATCTTCTACCGAGGGATCAACACCAGCTCCTCCAGGCAGTCGATGGACTCCTGCAGCAGCATCCTGTTGGCCCGCCTCCGCCCGTCTCTCCTCTGCAGCAGCAGGGTCTCAGCGTGGAGCAGCAGCTCCACAGCCCGAGACACCCGGAGCTCGCCTGGGGCTTCGTGTCGGCTCAGAGGTCCACCTGGCCTGCTCGCTGGCTTCTCCACCTCCCGCCGGACTCGACAAACCTCAGGAATGGAGGGTACGAATGGGAGAGAGAGGAGAGCAGGGCTGGGGGAGGGGCCTGATCCTTCCTTGTTACTTCCTGTTTGTTTCCTCTCAGCTTCCTGTGAGAGGAGATCAGGGAGGATCAGGCGTTGACCTTTTTATTCACGTTCCACAAAACACATGTAGCACACCTGAGGAGTGGGCAGGTTCTGGAGCAGCTCAATCAGGTTCCCCAGCCTCCCGTCGCCATGGCAACAAACTGCTGGATTCCCACGGGGTGGTAGAGAGGACATCAGTACAGGAGGAGCCATCAAATCCACCACACTGTCCTACACACACACACACACACACACACACAGAGTTCATGCAGGGGAAACAAACTCAGCAGATTAAACCAACGGGAGGATGTTCAGAGGGTCGTGTTGATCTGACCAACCGTCCAGGTCCAGAAGATGTTTTCCACCCGTTTCCAGTTAATAAAGGCTTCCAGAAGGTCACAGAGCTGCTGGAGACGAGAGCAGTCCTACAGCGTTTAGAAACACACACACACACACACACACACACGTACAGATGTTTGGACCCGTGGAGTTATTAAAGGAGTTAACTCACTAAAGCTCACAAACAAACCTCCTGCAGCGCAGCACAGCTCTGACCAGAGGACGACCCACTGGCAGAAAGCACCTACAGAGGTGACAAACCTTCTCAGTTAAACATCAGTGACTGCTGAACATGACCAGAGCAGACCTTCTCACATCATGAAGCAGCCGGGTTCTAACTCCTATCATTGGCAGCAGAATCCGTCTCTGGTGTCTCAGACGTCCAATCAGCCACTGAAGTCTCCTCAGCGAGGCGGCGTCCACCTCAACATCACCAGAAAACTCAGGTTTCAACTGAAAGAAAGAAGCCCCAGCCCTGAGTCCCTAACTGTCTGCATGCAGGTACCAGCTGCTGCTGAGATCCATACGTACAGGAACCGGTGACAGCAGAGATCCGTCCAGCTGCTCCACTTGAAACGTCACCAGCTTCTCCAGAGTTCCTGCAGCCAGCAGCCAGCCGAGCGCCAGGAGGAGGTCTCTGCAGGAGAAACTCCCTCTATCCCTCCTGTACATCCAGTCGGCATGGTAACCGGTCTGCCAGAGACCTGCAGCCACCAGCTTCCTGTGATCTGAAACAAAACCACTCCAAACGTCACCAAACCTTCAGGAAACATCAGGATTTTATCCGGTTTCTGAAGACACGTCTTCATCCTCATTCATTCATCTGGGACCATGAAGAGAAAATGCTGAACAGGAACTGATTTTTGTTTTATCTCTTATCATGGGATGTATCCAGATTACAGATTATATTCTAGCTAACATGTTTAAAACTGACCTGCTGCCAGCTGAGTTCGAGTCTGGCAGGAAACGATCCCAGATGTTTGAAGGATGTCAGAAAGAAGCTGCCAAAACTGGTCCTCCTGGAAAAGGAACTAAATGTGGTCATCTAGTCACACCTGGATAGGATTATAATCCAAAACCGAGGTGAGATGTGGATGGCTGTTTGGAGGTTTAGTGAACATCAGGTGGTGGCCAGAAGCAGTCAATAACCAGAAACCCAAATATCAGAGTTTTCCTTCGTTTTCCCCGAAGCTCTCAGAAGCTTTTAGAAAGCACGTTTCATACACAGAACGTGCTTTCAACACCAGCAGAAGGTTTCAACAAGATTCTCTGAAAACCGGAAGCAGACATTTGTCAATGAACGCACCTCGGTTCTTCCTCCAAACTTCGCCCGCCTGAAAGCCTCCGGTGTGGGGACAGAGTCCAGACCGAGGGCCGCTAAAAGCCTGCAGAGAGCTCCGATCACCCGCTTCACCTCCACACTCACAGCCGCCTGAGTTCGCTTCATGTCCGTCGCTCCACCGATTCGGCGGACTGTCGGTCCCACAGAGAGCTAGTTAGCTAGCTGCTAATTCCCAGCGCCCGCGAACCCCCCAGCACGCGCTCAGAACGACAACTTCCGGTCGTTGCTAAGGAAGTGATCTCAGTCTGTGTGGGCTAATCAGACAACAGGTTTAAAGGAGGAGGGGCGGCCGACAACATTAAAATAAACAATAAAATACTGTTTCATTTGAAAGTTGAACGTTTTAATAATGTATTTAAGAAGATAAATATATATATTTATTTGTTTAAATAACGTTTTTGATCAAATGTATTAAAAAAATTACAACACATCTCAGTTTGCAATTTTTACAACACATTCCTGCAGCGTACAGGTGGATTTTCTGCTGATGATTAAAGTCATGTTTCATTAAGAGAACATTATATTATATTTGAACAACACTTGAACGGTTCTGAGCGGCCCACTGGATTCAGTTGAGGAGGAAGATGACCACCATCTTTAAAAAAAACCCTCCCACCCACTGCATCCCACAGTGGAGACCATGGACAGCTCCTTCAGAGGCAGACTGAGACATCCCAAATGTAAAACAGAACGCTACCATAGGTCATTCATCCCCTCTGCAGTAAGAGTGTAGAAGTCCTCAGTTTAACTGGTACTGGCATTATACTGGTACACAATAACACCAATGCAATTGCGGCAAGGTGGAGAGACAAGGGCCTGGGCGGGATTCGATCCCCAGACTCCCAGGTGAGAGTCGCGCGCTAACCAGTCAGCCAAAGGGACATCCCCCTGGCGACGTAGCCAGGGCGCATGATCAATCTGCATACAGTGACGCTCACACTGTCACACAATATTCAGTATTGTTTAATACTCGTTTAATACCGGATTTACATTGTATGTCCGTGCCTCTTACAGTATGCTGCATAGTGTTGGAACCCAGATTTTTTTCTTTTTTATTTGTGGTTTCAGTGGTCAAAGGTTACAATGCTAGCGTACTGCCTATGTGTATAAACATGTACCTTTGCTATTGTTTTTCTTCAAACTCTTCTCTTTGGTGCTGCTACAACAAGTGAATTTCCCCACTGTGGGATCAATAAAGTCTATTCTATCTATTCTATTCTATTGGACTCAGACTGGAGTCAGTTTACCTGAGACTTCTTAAAAGAAGTATTTAAAATGCAGGTTAACAGATTAAACACTAAACTGGACTATGAGATGGTTCTGTGGCTGCAGTCGATAAATAAAGCACAAAGAACAAAAATAATCAGAGCGAGATTTTTTTAATAAGCAAGGAAAAAGTAAATGTATGCATCTGCGGGCCATAAATGTCTGCTTCCCTGGTTCTGATGGGTGTTTTCTAGTTGCTGGCTCTGAATAATAAATGTTAGGATCCGGGTCACTTTCTGGTGTCACGTTTGCTGGATTTAGTCATGTTGTGCACGGAGCTCAAATGTCGTCTTTTGGTAAAAGTCAGTGAGAATTTGTGTTGGAGTTAACCGGGTAAGTCTTTATAGACCTATATTTGATCTATCTGTGATTTCTTCAGCCTGAAATCTGAACTTTAAAGGTGCAATAAGATATCATTTTACAGACACTAGATATCCTCAGCTTTCTTCATGTTTTTGAGGGCGTCCTGACCAATCACAAACTTGCATTCTCTATCTTGACGGATGTATGTTTAGAAAAGAGAGCTTGACTCCGTCCTTCCTTGCCAGCCTGCTGGAGAGCCCTTGAAATGATGGATAGGCGTTGCATGCATCCTTCCCGACGCAGACGGAGAAGTATAAATTAAGCTTTGGGACATCCCTGCTTTAGATTGGTGGAGGCCGGTAATCAGACGTTTGCAGGATCAATCCCTGCAGGGAGATCTGCTGTTGTGTTCTTGGGAAAGACAGCTCACCCTTCTTGCCTGCTGGTGGTGGTCGCAGGGACCGGTGGCACCTGTGTATGTCAGTCTCACCTCTGTCAGTGTGCCTCAGGGTAGCTGTGGCTGCATGGTAGCTCATCACCACCAGTGTGTGTATGGTTCACTGCAGTGTGAAGCACTCTGAAGTGTTCTCTGACTCTTTAAGGCCCTTCACAAGTGCAGGTCGTTTATCAAAGATCACCACCAACTCTTTATATGAACTGAATTTATTGAAGTAATTTTTGCAGGGTATAAATTTAAATGATGCTCATGTCTGGGTCAGAACCTCCTTCATGGCTGCCTCTGGAGGTAGAATCCGTGCATGTGGAGGTCGTTTCCTCTAAAGGACATAAGTACATGTGTGCAGAGATCGGGTCATCCTCCGGAGGCGCATCAGCCGCCGCCGCCGCCGCAGCAGCAGCAGGCTGCACACCGACGCCGCTCCGGCTCTACGTATGAGCCGTCAGTGCAGACAGAGGTTGTAAACATGGCGGCGGACGGGATGGTGCTCACTAACCACGACCACCAGACCCGTGTGGGGATCCTGACCGGTAAGGACGCGGTTTGGTTAGAAAGACGTGCAAACGCGGCACCTCGGTGCCGTTTTGTCGTCGCTGTCACGAACCGAGCCGTCTCCTCTGCAGAGCCAGCTGATAGCTAGCAGCAAGCTAACCGGCTGCCTCCCGTGACCGCTCGGACAGATGCGGGATTACTCAGCGGCTCTTTCGTGAATCGTAGTTTAGTTGTGTCTGAATCTGCTTGTGAAGACCTGCTGTCATGTTCAGATGTGCGTTAAACAGCTTAACGTCGGTGCATTGAGCCATTTTATTTAGCGTCAAGCCCGCCATGGAGGAACGGAAACCCCGGTTTGCGCTTTCAAAACTTAGCGCGAGCGGTTATTCTTTGCGAACGCTTGCTGTTAATTAACAGTGGGAGCTTTTATTTTGAAATTAAAACATCTATTTTTCCGGTCTGGTTCCGGTGAACATTCCAGCTTAACCGAAGGGAACGTTATATTTTCTTGCAACGAAGCGCTGCTGAGCCTACACGAGCTGCATCCGTGTCCCTTTGCGGGTCCGACGTGTCTCCCGCCGTTAAGCCCGTTAACTCTAACGTTTACAGATGTTTCACAACATCTGGGCTCCGTGGATTCCAATAAACCAGACATGTTTCACACAGCATCAGTAATCACGACTCCTCCTGCGCCTGGCTCCGAACAGCCAGAGGACAGGACGCAACGCAGCGCCGAGCTAAAATGACTCCAGATCAGATTAGCTCAGCTGATCTTCGCCTCCGAGTCATGCTCAGGAGGACTGGGACCAGTTAGAGCCACCAGTAAGCGCCTTTAGTGGAGGCAGAGGGAGGGGGATGTGGAGGTGATGCTGAGGAGGAGGAGGAGGATGAAGAGGCCTGCAGCTGCTGCTGTCACATGTCCCCCTTCACGCGCTCAGACATCAGGCTGACAGCGGGAGTTTTACTACAAATATCAGGTTTAGATCAGGTTTAGAATCCAAAGTTCTCGTAACTGAATTTTTAGCCCGGTTAAAGGTCCTGATCCAGCCTTCATTTCTTTAGCTAGACTAGTTCTGGTTGCTTTCAGCTCTGGTTCTAGGAATGAAAGGTGAAGTCCCATCAGTTGTCACCAATGGTTGTCACACACACTGATGTGTGTGTGACGTTAGTTCTCCACATCCGACCCATCCCCTGGGGGAGCGGTGAGCTGCAGACACGGCCGCGCTCGGGAACCATTTGGTGGTTTAACCCCTCAATCCAACCCTTTAGTGCTTAGTGACAAGCAGGGAGGCGTTGGGTCCCATTTTTTCTAAGTCTTTGGTACGACCCGACCAGGAATCGAACCCTCATCTCCCAGTCTCAGGGCAGACACTCTACCACTAGGCCACCGAGCTGGTAGGAACAGGACGGATATGACACGTGATCACCTTGACCGTTCAGCATAAACACACAGAAAAGGAGTCAGGCCAACGAGTGTCATTATTTAAATAAATACCTGGATTAGGTTGACTTGTTTGTAATCTGGATGAGTAGAGGTCTCTGCCTCCTTAGGAGGAGTCCAGGTGTCCTGGTGTCTTGATTCTGATTGGTGGACTGCAGGATCAGGGCTTTGTGCAGGAATGAGGATGTTGTTCTGGTTTGTGAGGAATGAGCTGAGCTGGAGGGCAAAGCTCTGAAATCCGGATCCAAGTTTTCCCTCAGCCTCCTCCTCCTACTGCTCCTCGTCAGAAGGAGTCTGCTGGTCACCTCCCTCTGGATGACTCCGGGTCGGAACCAGAACTCTCTGGAGCATGGATGTAATTGGGGGGGGCATGTCCCCCCCCCCCCCCCCACTTTTTCCAAAGTCAAGTTTTGACCCCTGCACTTTTCACCATCCAAAAACAATATTACTCTATATTAAACCGACACTGGTTGAGCTCTAGGACCAAGCAGAAAACAACCGTTTGTGTTGAAGCCGGTCTCCCATTAGAGCATACTGTAAAGATACAACCCCCCCCCCCCCCCCCCCCCCACACACACACACACACACTTCTAAAGTGAATATTACGTCCATGCTCTGGAGGGGTTATATCTCCTCTCTGGTCTGGGGTTGCCTTGGGATTCCCAGGAGGAGCTGAAATTGGTCTCTGGGGAGAGGGAGGTCTGGGCTTCCCTTCTGGACCCGCTACCTCTACAGCCTGGCCATGGACAAGTGGTGATGGATGAATGAATTAGCTTCCACCTGATAATTTAGACTTTTCCCTCCTCAGTCAGCGACAGCTGCTTCAAGAACCTGGCAGAAGACAGGAGCGGAGTCAACCTGAAGGACCTGGTCCACGACCCGTCTCTGTGAGTCCTGACAGGAACACGGACACGTGTGAATCCTCGTGTTTAACTAACCACTGCCGATTTTCTTCCTCCAGACTGGGAGGAGCCATCGCAGCCTACAAGATCGTTCCAGATGAGATTGAAGAAATCAAGGTACACGCTTTACGTCTGCACAATGCATCGTCTCAACATCTCAGTGTAGCTCAGCGCTCCGCCGTCTACGACCAGTTTAGCATTTCAACAGTTTAAACTGAAGAGTTTACATTTCCTGAAGGACCTCGATCCCGTGGGCAGAAAAACAAAGCTTTGGTAACAACAGCTGCAGGAAGGATCAAGGAGCTTTTAGACGTTTTTATTTGTAAACGAAGCCTGTTTTTTATTGACTACCTGGTTGAACCTGGCTGTTTTGAATCCATACAGGAAACTCTTCTGGAGTGGTGTGATGAACAGGAGCTGAATCTCATTCTCACTACTGGAGGAACTGGCTTTGCACCACGAGATGTCACACCTGAGGTAGAACACAAGCTTCCTGTTTGACTTTAACTGGATCAGATTATTGGAATATTTCTCTAAAACGGCTTTCTGTGGCAAACCAAGAGAATAACTAATGTAAAATAAAACACACACACACACACACACACACACACACACAAAGAAAAACAAATCAGTATGACAAGATGTGCAAGAGATTGGCAGTGGATCAAAAGTCCAAGTAAAAACTTTTTAAGGTGAAGTCGATCGTATTTTTGTGTTTGTCAGGGTCGTGGAGGCCGCTCACACACACGACTCTGTCACATGTAACAAGTTACGTACTTTAAGTTCACACACACGTGCTTAATCAGACACAACCAGAGGTTGTCAGTACGTCCTGTAAATAAGGTAAACGAGGACTACAGGAAGCGTGCTGTGGATCTTCTTCTGTGGTATTTGTCGAAAAGAGTGACACATTTATATACTTTTCAGTGGTTGGGTCAGTGTAGCATGTAGCCTAGCTAGCTGCTATTTTAGACCGCTTAGCTTGTAAACTAGCTGCTAACCAGCTGTTAATTTAACCTGTGTAGGTAGCTTAAAGCCTACCTGCTAATTAGCTGCTATTTTGACCAGTGCTGTTAGCATGTAGCTTAGCCGCTAACTAGCTGTAATTTTGGCCAGTTTAGCGTGTAGCTTAGCTGCTAACTAGCTGTAATTTTGGCCAGTTTAGCGTGTAGCTTAGCTGCTAACTAGCTGTAATTTTGGCCAGTTTAGCATGTAGGGTAGCTGCTAACTAGCTGTCACTTTGGCCAGTTTAGCATGTAGGATAGCTGCTAACTAGCTGTTATTTTGACCAGTGTTGTTAGCGTGTAGCTTAGCTGCTAACTAGCTGTAATTTAGACCAATTTAGCATGCAGCATAGCTGCTAACTAGCTGTTACTTAAACCATTGTAGGTAGCTTAAAGCCTACCTGCTAACTAGCTGTTATTTTGACCAGTGTTGTTAGCGTGTAGCCTAAGGCGCCTCCTCTCTGGGGAGGTACAAGGCTGCTCCCCTCTCCCTCTGGCTCATGGGTCCCTGAACGGACTATAAGTTATTTTCTAATCCTCGTTGCCTTTCGCCCTGTCACACATACAGTATGTTTTTCTTCTATTTAAATGATAAGTAATTGTGTTTTGTGTGTTTGTCACGTAGTTTGAGATACATTAGCTTGTAGAAATTGCTAAACTACGAAGGACGGCAGTAGCTTAGGAAGGAGAGCGGGTTGTCCAGGTTCAATCCCGGCTCCACCCAGAGAATGCTGCTGTTGTGTCCTTGGGCAAGACACTTAACCCGCCTTGCCTGCTGGCGGTGGTCGGAGGGGCCGGTGGCGCCAGCGTTCGACTGCCTCGCCTCTGTCAGAGCGCCCCAGGGCAGCTGTGGCTACATCGTAGCTCATCCCTACCAGTGTGTGAATGAGTGAATGACTGATTGTGTTGTAAAGCGCTTTGGGGGGTTGTAGAACCCTACGAAGACGCTATACACATACAGGCCATTACCATCCCTCACTAAAGTCTATTAACCTCTTCAAATGTCTTTTCTGAGGGATTAAACGGACGTTTTGTTGCTACGTCACAGGCCACCAGGGAGGTGATCGAGCGGGAGGCTCCGGGTATGGCTCTGGCCATGCTGATGGGGTCGCTCAACGTTACGCCTCTCGGGATGCTGTCCAGGTAAACGTGCGCCTGCTCTCACCTTGTCTGATCCTCTCTGGCTCTAATGAGCGTTGTCTGCCTCGTTTCCAGGCCAGTTTGTGGGATTCGTGGGAAAACTCTGATTATCAACCTTCCAGGCAGCAAGAAAGGCTCACAGGTGAGTTTTTCACCTGTTCCTTCACTCGGTTTGACTCCACTGAGAAGGTTTGGAAGTTCTCCAATAAACACATGAAGCAAAGATGGAACATTTGGCCACTTCTGTTGTGTTTGAGTTCAAATGGACGTAGATGGTGAAGGTTTGTTAGAGTGCTCTAACCTTTGGGCGTAGATGACCCGACCGTACCGTCATGCGGGTTGTGAGGATGCTGAAACGCTCCTCTTTCCTGTAGGAGTGTTTCCAGTTCATCCTGCCTGCTCTGCCTCACGCCATTGACCTGCTGCGCGAGGCCGCCGTCAGGATCAGATCCACGCACGCCGCTCTTGAGCAGCTGCCCTCGCCATCCTCGCTGATGACCAACACGCACGTTAACACTAACTCTAACACGCACACCATGGAGCGCGGCACCCAGTGCGAGGAAGAAGACGAGGAGGAGGAGGACCGGAGGAGGGGGCGGCACAACCACCACCATCACCAGCACGGCTCCTCCCACATCACCGCGGCCGCCATCGCTGCCAAGGTAAGCAGCTGACCTGAAGGAGAGGCGCGCCGGTCTGTTTGTTCTGCCGGTTCTGAAGGGGAGACGTTTCCAGCTTGTTCAGAGGTGTCCGAACACTTTTAGTCCTCAGCGACCGCAGAACGAGATATTCAAATTAAAAGAATTTATTTGTAGAATTTTGTTTACTTGCTTAACAAAATAAACTCAGTAGTTCAAAGAAAAGATCCTTTTAGATTATTTATTCTCCTGCATCTGTTGCTCGACCCCACATAAAAAACATAACCGGAGCCCAACGATGTCCAACGGGAGGTCCTGGAGGACAAAATTATGCTGTTTATTTATTTTGAGTTGAGAGACACAAAAAACCAGCCAGAGGTCTGAAAATGGCCCGTGGGCCATCGTTTGGACACCCCTGGATCATCATCATCATCATAAGATTTGTTCTGTACGTTTGGTGTCGACGCCTCACCCGGCTCATCCCTTGAGTTAAGATCATTTCTGTGATTCAGAGTTGAGAAGCTTAAAAAAAATTAAGTTTTCCTTATTTTTTCTCTTTATATCAGATAATTTAATTTATTTTACAGATAATTTAATTCATATCACACATAATTAAAGATGCTCCAAAAACTGGCCAGTGATCGCAATGAGCCAATGTTCAGCCAAAGAGAAACTTTGAAATCGGTTTTTATTTCAGCCCATGAACGCACCGTCACCCAACACGAATCCACAGAAGCAACAGATTTACTTCCAGGTTGACAAGTTTCAAGTTAAGTGGAAATTTAAAACGACTCATCGTTTTTTTTCTTTGAGATGAACTGGTTTCACTGGACCAGAGCTGAACAAGAATCAGAAACTGGTTTTGGATCTCAAAACCAGAATCGGTGCATGTGCAGAGGATTTAAATCATCTTTTGAGTCATTGTTGGTTCACATCATCTCATCTCCATATGTGTGTGTGTGTGTGTGTGTGTGTGTGTGTGTGTGTGTGTGTGTGTGTGTGTGTGTGTGTGTGTGCGTGCGTGCATGCCTGTGTGTGTGCGCGTGCCTCTGTGTGTGTGTGCATGCGTGTGTGTGTGTGTGTGTGTGTGTGTGTGTGTGTGTGCCTGTGTGTGTGCGTGCCTGTGTGTGTGCGTGTTGTGTGTGTGCGTGCCTGTGTATGTGTGTGTGTGTGTGTGTGTGTGTGTGTGTGCATGCCTGTGTGTGTGCGTGTGCGTGCCTGTGTGTGTGCCTGTGTGTGTGTGTGTGTGTGTGTGTGTGTGTGTGTGCGCGTGTCTCTGTGTGTGTGTGCATGCGTGTGTGTGTGTGCGCGTGCCTGTGTGTGTGTGTGTGTGTGTGTGTGCGTGCTTGTGTGTGTGTGTGTGTGTGTGTGTGCGTGCTTGTGTGTGTGTGTGTGTGTGCATGCCTGTGTGTGTGTGTGTGTGTGTGTGTGTGCGCGCGCGTGCCTGTGTGTGTGTGTGTGTGTGTGTGTGTGTGTGCGTGCTTGTGTGTGTGTGTGTGTGTGTGTGTGTGTGTGTGTGTGTGTGTGCGTGCTTGTGTGTGTGTGTGTGTGTGTGTGTGTGTGTGTGTGTGTGTGTGTGTGTTCACTCACCAGACCAACCATGCTGGGGTCATGGCTAAGGGAGCTCCCTACCTGCCTGGAAACACACCTGCTCCTCCTGCTCATTTCACCTGTAGTCATGACCATCAGGTGAGATGTGAACACCTGCCCCCCCCCACCCCCACCCGGTCTCTCCTTACTCTGTGGTTTCCCTCTCATCAGGACCATCTCGTGAACCACACTCACCAGAATCCTCTCCAGCTCTTACGGGTTACTTTATCTTCCAGCTGATAGTTTCCTGTTTGGTTTGAAGGATCTGAACGTTTCTGACCTTCGTGTCTGTGAACATGAAAGCTGAGGTCAGAACGGGACTTTGGTCTCATCGCTTGTCCTCGGTACAAGTTGTCCTTCTCCTCTGCAGCAAGTAGGGAGTCTAATTTAATCTACTTAACGTGTCTTTTATAGTACATTAGGTGTTAAACTGTTGTCAGACTCCGTTTATGAGAGATTAGTGAGATGTGTGCCTTTGCTTTGGGGCTTTCTCAGTCCTTTGTGAATGTGCCACACACTGATCCTGACGGTCGCCTCGCCCGCTCCCGCCTAAACACCCGTAATCCTGTCACACCTTCATTTAAAACATTTGATTGGAGGGCTCCTAGCTGCAGCGGAGTCTGTGTGGAGGAGCGCTTTAGTTTCACCTGTTCAGGTGAGTTTCAGCTGATCGAATGGGTTTTGCTGCCGTGCAAAAGTCTTAGACCACTCCTCATCTCTGTGGTTTTACCTTCGTGTCAGCTCTTGTACCATGAGATTAAAAGTAGGCGCGTTCTGCCAAGGCGGAGTGATCGTACGATCATCACGCTGGATCTAACACACAGAACATGTTTCCCCCGGACCGTTTCAGACGTGACACACCTTGATCCGGTGGGCTTTAGTGTGTGTTAGTCAAAATAAAGCTAAAGGTGTGGTTAGCAGGTGATCTTTAGTCTCCTAGTCGATTAAATCAGTTTAAAAAAAGTTAAGAAAATCCTCATCTGGTGTTTTCCCCGAGTCGCCCATCTCTGTTAAACCGGAACAGCCTGGAGGACAGAAGTAGGACCTGAGAGCTCCATCATCTCTCAGCTCGTGGTGCTGGTTGGCTGACGCTCCAGCAGAAATGGTTCCAGTTGGCCTGAAATGATCCCAAACACACTTCCTGTGCAGTCGGTTGTACGATAATGAGCTGGTGTCGGACTCATCTTCAGGTGTAATCACACAAAAAGCAGCAAAAGTACAAAAAAAGAGCTTTGGAATGCTTTTAGGAAGTCTGGAAAACCGTTCCTGAAGACATTCACGTTTTTTTTCCTGGATAAAACCAACAGCGCCTTAAGACTTTTGCACAGTGTGTTTGAGAGGAACTAGACCTCGACTGACTCTCTGTGTGTGTGTGTGTGTGTGTGTGTGTGTGTGTGTGTGTGTGTGTGTGTGTGTGTGTGTGTGTGTGTGTGTGTGTGTGTGTGTGTGTGTGTGTGTGTGTGTGTGTGTGTGTGTGTGTGTGTGTGTGTGTGTGTGCGCGCGTGTGTAGATCCCGGACTCGATCATTTCTCGAGGCGTTCAGGTGCTTCCTCGAGATTCAGCCTCTTTAAGCTCCACCCCTTCCGAATCACCGCGGGCAACACAGGCAACATCCCGCCTTTCTACCGCCTCTTGCCCGACCCCTAAGGTACACACACACACACACACACACACACACACACACACACACACACCGGGATCAACGTAAACCAAATCTCTCCCAAACTTGTAAGCTGATGGAGTCACGTGACTGCGGGAAGTCTGAAGTTCCAGTGTCGGGTTCCTGGAGCTCCATCTGCTGACAGTTCCTGCATGATTAGAGTTTCTTAGCTCTTCTTCTTCTTCTCTGAATCTTTTACTGTCGTGACAAACCAACAATTGGAGGAAATTTTAAAGTTTTAATCAAACTTTTTGTGAAAATCCTGTTTCTAATGAAAGAAACAAATGAAAATTGGATCCACCTGGCAGAGCGTGACAGTTTTCACCAAATGAAAAGTCACGGGACTCGTGTGTTTGGAGCCGAGTGGGAGTGAATGGGACCGTGAGATTCAGTTGTGGTGCATTCACATCTAAAAGCTCTCCCAGTTCATTCAGAGAAAAGGAAACTCGGATGATGCTGGAATTGTCTCAGAGTGGGAGTTTGGTAGAGAAACCCGGATCTAACTCATTTTCCTGGTGTTGGATTCCTTCTCCGGTTCCTCTGCCGACGGGCTCTGGTGTTCAGGGCTCCGAGCCGAGTTCTGATCAGCTGTTTTATGTTCGGACCTTGTTTGTGTTTCTCTGCAGGTCCAATCTCGCTGTGGCAGCAACGAGAACATCCTGAGAGCCAGTAAGTCCCGTTCACCCCGCCTTAAGCGTCCTCTTCATGGCTTCCTCACGCCCTTCTCTGATTGGTTGTGCTTTCAGGCCACAGCGCCGTCGACATCAGGAAGGTGGCGCGGCGTCATCGCATGTCTCCATTCCCGCTCACGTCGATGGACAAAGCTTTCATCACCGTTCTGGAGATGACCCCTATCCTGGGAATCGAAGTCATTAACTACAGAGGTGAGGCTTTAGTGGGGGGGTGTGGTCACGGTCCCGCCGACGAGTCGGCTCTAACCCGGGTTCTGCCCCAGATGGGTTGGGTCGTGTGCTCGCTCAGGACATCTATGCCAAAGACAACCTTCCTCCGTTTCCCGCCTCCGTTAAGGACGGCTACGCTGTTCGGGGTGAGTCCGGATCAGCTGATCAGACGAGGTAAGAGGTAACCGCTGCCTAACTAACCCGATGCTGACCTCTGACCTGTAGCTGCTGACGGTCCTGGAGATCGTTTTATCGTGGGGGAGTCGCAGGCTGGACAGCAGGTAACGCCCACGACACAATCCCAGGTGTTCCTTCGGTCCGGCAGCGGCAGAACCGAACAGAACCTTTAGTCACAGGAGATAGGGTGGGCGTGTGTTCAGAACAGCCAACCACAGTAAGGCTTTGTGTGTCCAGCCCACCCACACCGTGATGCCGGGGCAGGTGATGAGGGTGACGACCGGCGCTCCCATCCCGTGTGGAGCCGACGCCGTGGTCCAGGTGGAAGACACCGAGCTGCTGAGGGAATCCGAGGATGTAAGAAGCTCGTCAGCTGATTGTCCCCGGGTCCAGTGTTGGATAATGTGTGTGTGTGTGTGTGTGTTTCAGGGCACGGAGGAGCTGGAGGTGAGGATCATGGTCCAGGCCCGGCCCGGGCAGGACATCAGGTAGAATAAAAAGATGGGATGATTCGTCGGAGACCTCCTGACCCCTGCCAGCATCAGTATGACTCTGAAATGACGTTTGTGTGTCTCGACAGGCCGATCGGCCACGACATCCGGCGCGGGGAGTGTGTGCTGGCCAAGGGGACACACATGGGCCCGTCAGAGATCGGCCTGCTGGCCACCGTGGGCGTGACCGAGGTCAGCGTGCACAAATTCCCCGTGGTGGCCATCATGTCTACAGGAAACGAGGTGAAACCGCAGAAACGGAGGCGAAGGCGCAACACGAGACTTGGTTAGGCTCACGTGTGGTTCTGGTTTTAGCTGTTGAACCCAGAGGATGACCTCCACCCTGGAAAGATCCGAGACTCAAACCGCTCCACCCTTCTAGCCACCATCCAGGAGCACGGATACCCCACCATCAACCTCGGCATCGTCGGAGACAAGTGAGACGATTTCAGCCTCACAAACCTCGTCCTCGTCAAAAGTTCATGTGTCAACCGAGTCTGGTGTGTGTGTGTGTGTGTGTGTGTGTGTGTGTGTGTGTGCGCGCGCGCAGCCCCGACGACCTGCTGTCCGCTCTACACGAGGGAATCAGCCGCGCTGATGTCATCATCACCTCAGGGGGAGTGTCCATGGGAGAAAAGGTGACCTCTCCCCTCTGACCTGGTTCCATTAATGTCTGACTGAAGACTGTTGAGTTAAAGTGTGTGTGTGCGTGTGCGTGTGTGTGTGTGTGTGTGTGTGTGTGTGTGTGTGTGTGTGTGTGTGTGTGTGTGTGTGTGTGTGTGTGTGTGTGTGTGTGTGTGTGTGTGTGTGCGTGCGTGCGTGTGTGTGTGTGTGTGTGTGTGTGTGTGTGTGTGTGTGTGTGTGTGTGTGCGTGTGTGTGTGTGTGTGTGTGTGTGTGTGTGTGTGTGTGTGTGTGTGTGTGTGTGCGTGTGTGTGTGTGTGTGTGTGTGTATCAGGACTACCTGAAACAGGTGCTAGATATCGATCTTCACGCTCAGATCCACTTCGGGCGGGTGTTTATGAAACCAGGGTGAGCTGACCGGGTTCCGTTCCTGATTCCTGGATGTCGTGCTTCCGGACCATAACCAGTGCTGTAACTCTTTCTGTTCCCAGTCTTCCCACTACCTTCGCCACAGTCGACATCGATGGAACGCGTAAGCTCATCTTCGCTCTCCCAGGTTTGTGAATCTGAGCCCTCTGATCGGGTCTTTTTCATTTCTCTTTTGGGATAAAAACATTTTCCCGTTGCTTCCTAAAGCGGCGCGCTCCCCTCAGCAGTAGCGCTGGCAAACGCAGATAAAACGGAAAGAACTGGTGTTCTGACATCATTTCCCCCTTCGGCAAAGCCTCGCTTGGCTGTCTGATTATTCCGTTTGCCTTTTCCAGGTAATCCCGTGTCGGCTGTGGTGACCTGTAACCTGTTTGTGATTCCCGCTCTGAGGAAGATGCAGGGCATCCTGGACCCCAGACCCACTATAATTAAAGCTAGGGTGAGACTACACAGGATGCTATGTTAGCAGACAGCATGGAGGCATGGGTGCAGCGATAATCTCACGTTGCTCCGCATCCGTCTGCTTCTCCAGCTGTCCTGTGACGTGAAGCTGGACCCCAGACCGGAGTACCATCGCTGCATTCTCACCTGGCATCATCAGGAGCCCCTCCCCTGGGCCCAAAGCACAGGTTTGTTTACTCGTAACCACAGCAACGTGAGTTCTGGCGTCACCAGCGATGCTCTCCGTGGAAACCTCCTGGTCTGACATGGTCTGTGGCATCGGCGCTTCCAGGTAACCAGGTGTCCAGCAGACTCATGTCGATGCGTAGCGCCAACGGCCTGCTGATGCTGCCCCCCAAGACGGAGCAGTACGTGGAGCTGCACAAGGGCGAGGTCGTGGACGTCATGGTCATCGGGCGGCTATGATGCAGGTAGGTGTGGCTCACCTCTCGCCACGAGGCGGGCGCCAACCATCTCACACGTGTCTCTCTCTCTCCTCAGACCATCGTGTCTCTACCGGTTACCGTGGCAACGCCAGGAGTTCTTGTCTGGACAGGAAACAGGTGGGGAGGGGGGTGGGCAGGAAGTGATGCATGTCTATCTGGTCGCCATTAGCTGTGATGTCATATGCAACAGCCAATCGGAGCCAGCGCAGGCTGAATCCTCTCCGGTCTGCTCTGAGGAGATCGCTGTACTTCAACGGAGAAAAAAATGTGGAAAAAATATATAAAAAGAGATTTATTCTGTAATATTATTATCCTTAAAAGAATTAATATTCTTAATTATATTCTATTTATTATGATTATTATGGTTCTGATTGAATATTCTCATCTTAGTGGTACCCTCTCCTCTCCTCTTCATTTGCTTTGTGACTTTTTCCCTCGTAGGCAGAAACACTAGAGACTTGCCCCTCCTTACTCTTCATCCTTCTCTCCTCTTTCTTACCCTCCTCTTCATTTCTCCTCAGTGCTGCTTTGCTCCAACATCCTCTAACACACACCTAGGAAGTAAAAAACAAACTGCTGTGGCCGTTTTTCCTCCCGGAGCAGAGCGGCAGCTGTTCGTTAAGCCAAGAAATGAGGAGTATTTGTATATTTTTGTTTGATTGCCTCTCCGCGTTTACCGCTCAAACATACAGCGAAAGCCATGAAATTCTTCCAGGTGGGAAATTTCTCTGGTCGGACATGAAGAACTTTAATCCTGCGTTCAAGTGATGTTTATCGTTCCAGATTGAAGCTACGTCTCATAATCTGCACCATATTCTGTTAGTGTTGTCTCGGATTGTGCAAAAGCTTTGATCCAGCCAATAATTCCTGAGAGGGAACCAAAACGGAGCACAGAATCAGCCAAAGGAAAACTCTGAAAGGGCCTAGGAAGGTCAGGAGAACTCCCGATCCAGATCCACTAATGGATCACGGGAATGTCTGGCTGCTTGGAAGGGAAACGAGCGGAGAGGAGGGCTGGATCCGGAGTTCTGGACCAGATCCGGGGTTTAGTATGAGCTTGTGTTTCCAAATTTCTGTTTTTTAATTTTCTCATCATTTTAAAATCTCATGAAAAGGATCGAAACGAGCATCTGTGTGGAAATCTGATTCAGGAATTCTTACTTTGATTATTAATGTAAATCTGTTTTCATGAGATTTGAGTCAACATCTGTAAAGCCAAGTATTTCATCCAGATGTTTGATGCAACACTTAAATAGATGTAATTACTACATTATTCTGTTTGTAATTTTTTTGCCATGTGATTTTTTTATTATAATTTTATTTTGATTTTGAATTCACCTGTTTCTAAAATGTGATGTCAGCATCTCATCATGAGACAAAAACAAAAGGAGATTAGATTTAAGACAGAAATATATCAGAACTTTATTCTCTCAAGAAGATATTTTTAAAATAATTTATAAAAATGCAGAAATAAACAATATAAAAATGAATTAGGTGTCTTATTGTTTTTTTATTCTTTTCTTTAAGTTATTCCTCACTGTTGTCCCTCATCTATGGTTTGATTACTTTACAGATTTGTTTTTGTGGCACCTTTTTCTCTCCATATTCTGGCTTCTCTTCAGTCAGTCGGCAGCTTCCTCCCATGATCCAGTTTTTAATCCGAAAACAAAATATCTGCAGTGAGTTGGGATGTAAACTCTCAGCTCCGATGAGAGCGGGCTTCACTTGAAAGCAGCTCATCGCGTTCAGGTGCTCGTAAACTACACTGTGTGTATTCTGCATTAAGGTGCTTGTTAAAGTATAAATACTTTCTAAGGCTGTGAATCAACATGTCATGTAACTAACTGCTTTTCCTTAAAAAATAAATCCAAATTTTATTTATGTCTTAATTTGAAGCATTAAAATGGATAAAACATAAAGAATTATGTTTATAATAAAATGTATAAATGAAGAAAACGGTTCTAAATGTAGAAAAACAATTGTTTTTTATTTTACATTCATAGATTTATTCATTTTAAATTTTTGTAAACGATAGCTATTTTCTCTGTAATTCTAAAATAAACACTTAATTTGTTTTATTTTGATTTTTTTGCCGTTTAAAAATATGAGTAACAGATTTCAATAAACTTGGAAAAAAAGGAAAATTATGGAAAAAACAATCAATGAATAAATAACCAATCTGAAACACAAAAACATAAACGTTAATTCTACACAAGCATTCTCAAATAAAATATACATTGACCTTTTTTTTAACTTTATTGGTTAATTTTTTTAAAATAAATAATTAAAATCTTAGTTTTCTTGTGGCACTTGTGGTGCTCCGTAGATACCCTGATGATTAATTGTGGCCGCTCTCAAATTGTTTACAAAACAAAACATTGAAGGTACCATTAGAAGTATGTGAATTCCAAACATTCATCAATGCACCATGACTTAAACTGTCTGTCTCTTCGTGTTTAGTGCCAAATAAGGTCAAAGGTCAAATGCTGCATTCAGATGAAAGGTCGTGTCGGAAGTCTGACGAACAAACGTTTGGTGTTTTTTAAACTGTCTCTTGTTTCTGAAAGTTCTTGTCAGTGGTGATCGACATGTCCTTCCCCACACGAATGCAGCACGCTGTTTGAATTTTGATCGTCCTCCTGACAGACCGACTCACTCTTTTTCCATCCTTCCTTTCCTTTCTCATTGTCCTCATCTCCTCTTCCTCATGGCACCTGCATGCCCGTAAAGAGGGGCGTGTCTTTCTCATTGGGCAGGTGTGATTCCAGGCAAGGTGCAGCACCTGGGCAACGTTTCTGATCCAACACTTTAATATCCATGTGTAATCCCAACCAAGGCTGTCTTTATCCATCCCTTAGCTTTCTGATTCAGAAACTTCCCAGTTACCTCAAATGCACCATAGACAGCAGAAATCAGCTGCTCGTGCTGCGTTCGCGTCACACAATTCTGTGAAGACTATTCTAATGAAATCAAAACAATGAGACATGTTTGCTTGAGTTTTCTCACAAAGGGGTGTTCGTGTGTATAGAAATTCCATTCTGACATGAACGCAGCATCAGAGCAGTTCCTGCCACCTGCCCAAAGAGGACCAATCAAACCCGGATAGATCCGTTCGAGTAAGAAGAAGAAGCAGGTTATTATGAAACTGCCTTTGTACTGAGTGATTCGTTACACTGGACTGACTCAGTGTCACACTGCACACACTACGAACAATGACCAGCACTTGTAATGAAGCAATGACACAGCATTCTACTACTACTGTATGCATCTAATGAAGAGGATGTTTTTTTCTGTAATAATACTGAAACTGAAAATGAATTAAAGATAATCCTGAATATTCTGTAACTGTTGTCCAGACAAGTTTCCTCTCAGCTCTTTATTTTACTGTATTTTACCTGAGCTTTATTCACTTTTAATGACTATTATCTGGTTCAAAAGAAAGAAGGAAAACAATCTTTATGTAGCACTTCTCAAGATGAAAATCACGAGGCGCATCACAAACAAACGATAAAAAAGATTTCAAAAAATGATTAAAAGAAGTTTATAATTAGAGAAAAAACATAAAATTGTGATTAAAAAATATAATGTAAGGAAGGTGAGAGAGAACATGAATAGGGAAGAGGGGACTCGTGGGGAAAGGCGGAATAAGTAGAAAGAGCAGCATAAGGAGAGGGTGGTGATGAAGGTCACGCAAAAACCAGCTTGAACACGTTGGTTGGATCATCAATGTGGACTTTTTCATACGTTTTCATTCATGTATTTTGTAAATTGATAACTTTTTGTTGCTTTATGGTCCTTCCCGTGAAAAAATTGGAGTTATTGAATTCCCAGGTACCATCGAATGCATCAAATTTCCACTGTGTGGTAGTCTGAATTCCTTGTAGCGACGTGTTTGATTGGATTAGATGGGATTCCTTTCACCACCTGGTCCAATCAGCGGTATTGTTTTATCTGGTCGTTGGCACGTTGACTCCTCCCCCTCCAAGTGGATTTGGATGTGTCAGACTGACGAGGAGGAGGGAGACGATTTCATCGCTGATGAACCAGCAAAAAGTGTGTTAAAGTACAAGTGTAAGACTGAAATTCCCACGGCATCTGTTCGGATTAAAGCCTTAATTTAACCTGGAGTTTCTGAGCTCGATGTAGCAGATAAAGAGGAGGACGCAGACGGCTCGGACTCGGAGGTGAGTGCGTCTGAAGCGGCTTTGTTTTCAACAGGTGCCGTAATTAGCTGCTAGCATTAGCCTGATAACAGCTAGGAAGGAAAGTTAGTTTGTTGTCTCTGTACAACCCAAGGCTGTTCGCTAACTTGACACACACCGTTCAGAGCGGCTGAACACGGATAATCCAGCGAGGAGCTCCGGAAAGGAGTTTAAACGGAGCCCGAAGCAATTGGAGCTAACGTCAGGTTAGCTAGTATCTGTCACTCCGCCCTGTCTGCTGCTGGCAACCAGAAACTCTGAAGAGCTCTTAGATCAAGCTGCTCGCTGCCGCGGTGTAGTTATCAAACTATCCACACACTAACCCGCGTTTAACGTCTTATGATGTTCAGGGGTCCTGTTTACTGACCTCAGTTTTCTCGGATGTTCTGTGGAATGAGGAGTTGATTAGTTAATGACAGGTTTTAGTTCCTGCTGTCAGTGAGCCAGAATGGCCTCTTTGTGTTGGTCTGGGGCGATAAACAACAACAAAACCACAACATAGCCAGAATACAGAAAAACGATGTCAAACCTAAGAATCAAAATTAAACGGAACATAAATAAATCCCAAATACTACAAAGTCAAATAAACAAAAACATGACAAACAAATCTAAAACCATTTTAACCAAGAGCAAGAGCAAAATATGGGATGCAATGAGAAAATAACCATAACATCCTCCAATTACAGCAAAAGTAATACGAAACTCAGAACTAACAAAAGTGCATCCGTGAAACTAAAATAAGCAACAGCACAGAAGCAAAATCTTTAATGCAAACAAAGCCTCTGATAGTTTTGTTCAATTAAACCCAAAAAACTAAAATCCAAGCAAGAGCACAGACGGGCAACAAAATGCAAAACCAGAACCAAACACACAGATGCTGTTGAAATGAAAATAAATTTAAAAAAAATCCAATAATATTTGCTTTTGTTGCTCGGATATTAGTTTTATTTCCGAGTTAATCTGAACTAAATAAACTCAAACCTAAATGAGTTTGTAATTCGAGTTTATCTCCAGTTGCTGCAACAAAAATGTTAGTCCTCAACCTTATCTGTGTGTGTGTGTGTGTGTGTGTGTGTGTGTGTGTGTGTGTGTGTGTGTGTGTGTGTGTGTGTGTGTGTGTGTGTGTGTGTGTGTGTGTGTGTGTGTGTGTGTGTGTGTGTGTGTGTGTTATCATCCGTTCCTCATCATGTTTGCTTTGGTTTTAAGTCTGACTCCAGACTCGAGTCAGTCTGTGAGGAAAAATCTGTTTCTGAGGAGTTTCTGAACCCGAGACTGAAATATTTTAGTTTGCTGCATAAATGCTGAGACGGTCAGAGGAGGAGGAGGGCAGACCGGTGTTGTGGTGAACAACACAGTAGTGCTGATGTTTCTGCTCCTCTTCATCTGTAAGCTGAAGCTGCTGATGGAGAAACGTGACGAACAGACATTGGACCAGCAGAACGTTCTGTTTTATAACCGCCGTGTTCTCGAGGCTGTTCTCTAGACAACAGAGCTTTAAATGTCGCTTATGAATCATTAATCTGAATAATTTTGCTTTACAAATTCAGTAAATTCGGAGAAGCCACACAGAGAACGTTATCAGAGTAAATGTGTCTATTTAATCTCACCTGTTTGTAGATGGCTTGATGAACAGCCTCTGTTCAGAGAAATGGAGTTCCTCATTTATTTCTCATGTTAATCATTGATGAAATGGATAAATGAGACGTGAGTTATTAACTGATTAACATGGAGGGGTGTGAATACTCGTGG